CAATATGGGTATCATTTTCGGGGTATTTGGGGGTGCGAATTACGAATATGGCACTTATTTCTAAATCCAAGATGGCGGACACGACTTTTCAAATAAATGCAATATGGGTATCAATTTCAGGGTATTTGGGGGTGCTAATTATGAATATCACACTTATGTCTAAATCCAAGATGACGGACACAATTTTCAAATAAATGCAATATGGGTATCATTTTCGGGGTATTGGGGGGTGCTAATTACGAATATCGTACTTCTAAATCCAAGATGGTGGACACGACTTTTGAAATAAATGCAATATGGGTATCATTTTCGGGGTATTTGGGGGTGGTAATTACGAATATGTCACTTATTTCTAACATCCAAGATGGCAGATACGGCTTTTCAAATAAATGCAATATGGGTAGGTATCATTTTCGGGGTATTTGGGGGTGCTAATTACGAATATGGCACTTATTTCTAAATCCAAGATAGCTGATACGACTTTTCAAATAAATGCAATATGGATATCATTATCGGGTATTTGGGGGTGCTAATTACGATTATGGCACTCATTTCTAAATCCAAGATGGCGAGCACGATTTTTTCAAACAATAGCAAGTTGGGTATCGTTTTCGAGGTATTTGGGTTGTGCTCATTACGAATATAGCCTTTATTTCTAAATCGACGATTTTTTCAAACAATGGCAAGTTGGGTATCGTTTTCGAGGTATTTGGGTTGTGCTCATTACGAATTTGCCTTTATTTCTAAATCCAAGATGGCTCTCCACTCACTCCCCACTCGTTCCGCGCTCCCTGCCCACTCACCCCCCATTATATGAAAAGTCGTGTCCACCGTCTTGGATTTAGAAATTAGTGTCATATTCGTAATGAGCACCCCCAAATACCTCGAAAATGATACCCATATTGCAAGTATTTGAAAAGTCGTGTCCGCCACCTTGGATTTAGAAATAAATGCTATATTCGTAATGAACACCCCCAAATATCTCGACTACAATACCCAACTTGCTATTATTATTCGAAAAGTTGTGCCCGCCATCTTGGATTTAAAAGTGCCTTATTCGTAATGAACACTCCCAAATACCTTAAAAACGATACCCAACATGTCATTGTTTGAAAAGTCGTGTCAAAAGTTTGCAAAGTCGAGGACTATTACATGTTTAGTAACCACCTTTATTTCCTGAGATCATTTTTGTTCACAAAAACATAATCATACATCATATATACACAAAAATTATCCCCAATCACTGGGCCAATGCCAGTGGAAGGATTGCTGCTAGAAACAATATCTCTCAAATTGTAAGTAAAATAAGTACCGTACAAGTTTCATTATGTTTTGTTTACATTACATTTACAAACTAATAATATAGAAAAAAAAACGTGACTTCTAACATAAATAAAAGCACAATATAAAAAATTCGATGACCTAGGCTCTAACTCCAGACATTCAGTATTCATGCTTTGGACAAAGAGGACACTAGAATAAGTATTTTTATTTGCCTTTTCCTTTACGGAAAGAATTGAAAAAACAACAACCATACCTTTATATGTGTGTGTAACTAAGTTTCGAGCGGATAATAGATATTTTTATCTAATTGAAAGATTGTATGTGAAAAGTTATATGAATTTTAAATGTATCATGAATTCCTCCAATCGCGTATACAATATACGAATATCGTAATAAACTATTATTTCGCCTTACCAACGCCATCTATTGTGTATTAGATTACATAAAACCGTGACGTTCCCCCTTAATATAAGGTTAAAATTCGAAACATGTCGCATCGCTACACTTGGCGTCTAGGAAAGAAAACTAGTTTTTCTCAGTGGAGGTCAGAGGGTTAAAATATACTATAGATTTTAGCGCGGAAGATCCCATTAAAGTTGTAAGGAGTAGAAAAATATTCTAACCATATCCACAACAACTTCTTACTTTAAATTCTAAATTTCCTTTACAGAGAAACACCAACATCAGCTGGCCCAAACTCCTTTGGCAAAACTAAACAAGGTTTCTGTGACGCCAAAAAAGTATTTGAAAAGAACCTCAAGCATGCCTTGGAGTTGGAAGGAGGGGAGAAACCACAACTGCCCAAGTTCCCCCAGACAATTTATAAAATCAAGGGCCCATGACTTTGTTTGTAGTCTTGGTTAAGTTTTATTGTAGTTTCTTCATAGGATTTTAGTTCAGCAATTAGTATGGTATGGAGTCTTAATTAGTAACACTCAAAAGGGCCTCACAAGATTACTGAAACTCTTTAAAGAACCATGTCAGTGTTGAGAAACCACCTAGGAAGTCTCATAAACTTATAACCGGCATGAAAGATGTATTGTTCGCAATCATCTAATTAAACTATTTATTTCCACACTCACTAAATGCGTAATACTAGAAAACAACACTATTTAAAGTTTTCAGCCTGCCCTGGAACTTTGTAAACACATTTGCATTTCAGGCCATTTAGCAAATTTAGTTAACTACATAATCCATTACAATGTTATGCTACAAAATTCTTTAAAAACTAAAGAAAGAACCATTTTATGTGCAATTACAAATACCAAAATATAATTTTATGAATAAACAATCCATTAACCATTGTATAATAAAAGCATGGTAACTCCGTACAAAAATAGCAGCGTGGCTTGTGTGTATACACGCTGCCGCCGCGTGCCGTGTACGGTCGCACACCTGCGCATTATCTCGTGATGCATTCGCATAGCATCATTATTCTGCGAATGTGTATGTTAATGCTGCTGCGTCAGAATGCGGCGGCAGAACCATTTCCTGTGGGGTGCGGACTAAGGAGTGAGGCAAGCGCAGGGAACACTTCGTAACAGTCCACCACGCCGTTCTTACTTACTTTATTTAACACAATTTTTAATATACCAAAAACTATGTCATTACAAAGTATATCCATGAAGCAAAAGTTTTACTCGAAGACATTAGAAACTCTCAGCTGAGTTGTTCGTCAATAACAGCCCGGACACTACGTTCGTACACACGCGCGGTGTATGGGGTGTACATTTGTATGGGGTTACCATACTTGTATTATAGACCTATGCAATAAAAAACATGATATATTTTACTTTGCTACAATATGTCTGTTCTGTGCCATCTACCTATAAATAAAGAAACAAGACTTTCAGCCAGTATTAAATATTACAACAATTTGTATTGTATACTAAGTCCTAAGTTAATCAATTACAGTAAAAGTAAATATTCTGATTCACAGCATTTATTTACCCATTGCCACAAAACAAATCTAGCCCTAGCAGTGTCCCTTTCTGCTTGGCCGGCATTGCCATTTAAATCAAACAGCCTTTTTCATATCTCTCTTCTTTTACGTAATAGTGGTGCAAGGTTAGGCCAAATTCTCAATAGTACTTCCCTCATTTGTAATAGAAGCAAATTTGAATACCTATAGACAGTTTAACTGCTATAGTAGTACTTACAAGTCTCCATACTGTACTTTCTTTTAATTGTCTTGGTTATAGTAAGTCTTAAAATTAGGATAAAATACATGAAATAGTGAGAGTTTAATAATTATGGTATAAAAGCTTCGCATACTTGAAAAGGACGGTTGATAAAAATTGGATACATGCCTTAGATATAGACGCCTGAATAGTTGGACCTTGACATCATGAGGGTATAAAGACATTATTCCCCAATATAATAATATATTTACGTGCAAGTCGAACTTTGACACATTATAACAACTAAAATGTGTACTTGTGATTTTATTTGAAAACTGAAAACCCTCATATTTAAGGACCACTTTCTTTAATATAGCTATAGTTGTCAAGAATACTTTTAAATTTAATTACATACAACATACTTTACCACCTACCTATGATATCTTACAAATTATCACGTTTTAAAAAAGTAATTGCAAAAAATTTACATGTATTATAGAAAATCATTAAATTAATACTTTTAATTTGTTAAATGATTATCACTAATTTCAGGTTTTAATTTGTTGTATTTGTACCTAATACTAATATTTGGAATAAATATTTTAACGCTCAGACAGTGTGTTTACCGCCACCACATCAATATAAGTAAGGGCTGATAATATGAAATAGTTTAAACTTAAAAAAATGTGACAGAAAACAACCAACCCAAGACATTGCGCAGCATTTTATAATTTCTCTACTAAAATACTATATTATCTAGGTAAATAGTAAGTCTAAACTCTGTTGAAAAATTATTTGGCACTAGATGGCATCTGGACGCTGACCAAGGCTCCCACTGGATGGTATGGCTTGAGTAAGCAAAAAAAAAGTAAGTAAGTTCTACCATTAAGTGGATGAGACTCATTGCAGCTGCTTGCAAAAGCGATGCTGCTTGATTCAGCACGTATCGATAGCCAGTTATTGAACCTGAGTCCCTAACTCCGGCCGACTATGCCGTTGCCCGGGATGGAAACATCCTCTCTCATGCAAAATTCGAATCTTCTAGGCCACGAGAGCGATAAATAATTTTTATCTTGCGACTGCCCTGTGAATAGGGTCAATACACGTTATTACAAAACTATTTTATTTAGTTGGACTTACCATCTTTGTCAACACTAAATAATTGAAGCATTGGGTGTAACAAAGCCGAAAAATGTAAAAGTGAGGTTCGAGAAAATTTAAAATAAAGTTTTGATGTCTTAATCTTTTTAATATTTATAATATGACACTTATATACTTTATTATTTATTTGTCCTATGGTTTAGCTTATTATTATTATTTTTTTAATATTTTTTTCTCTCCTTGTCTTATCCGCCCTTGTTGCACCAAACCGGTAAATTAATGGGGCGTTCGTTTTTGTTAATGGTTTTTAAGGAAATAAATAATTGTAAATCCATCTTATAAAAGTTCATCTCAGCCCGTGAACACCCACTGCTGGATATGGGCTTCCTCTTTTGCACGCCAGCTCAATCGGTCCTGTGCGAATCTCATCCATAATATTCCGGCCACCTCGACGATAACGTCTGACCATCTAGCAGGTGGTCTGCCTCGAGGACGTCTCGCTTCTACCGGGTACCACTCAGTGACCGCCTTGGTCCATCGGTCGTCGTCTCGCTTAGCAACGTGTCCTGTCCATCTCCCGCGATCCGCATACCGACGTCTACAGCCCTTGTTCGCTGTCGTATCTCCACGTTGGGTTTACGGTCGACGAGGTAAATGCCGAGCATGGTGCGCTCCGTTGCCCTTTGTGCTACTCTGATTTTTTGTGCATGTATTCCTTTGTGAGCGGCCATGTCTCGGCATCGTAAGTAAGTATGGGTAGGACGCATTGGTTATAAACTAGTTTTCAGGCTTTGAAGGATTTTAGATTTGAAAGCGTCCTCCAGTTTTCTAAACGCGGTCCATACCAACTGAATCCTTGCGATCTCCTTGTCTTGGGAAGCTCGGCCAAAAGATAAACAGTGTCCAAGATAAACTACATCTAGCTACCCAGTTCCCAACGAAGATGGTGAGTTTTGGGCCCGGACGGTTGGAAATGGTCTTGGTTTTGGACTTATTCATCTCAAGGCCGATAGCTAGTGAAGCCTCGTGCAGTAAAGTTACATTAAAAAAAATTCAAAAGTATTCTTAATCATTCATTGAATTCGCTAGATTGAAACGAATCGACAATGTCATCTAACGTGTCCGAAATTCAAACGCACATTTATAATCTGTGCCAAAAGGGCGGAGCGCCACCTTAGAAGTGAATGAAAATTACGTCATCTAGAAGGGAGATCGAAATGAGTTTTTGTCACAAGATAGTGTTTTTATGCAATAACACCAAAAAGGGCTTTTTGGGTGTTGAACGACCTTGTTGTTCCCAATGCTTCAATTGTTGTTCCCAATGTGTCTGCTGCTTGCTGACACAAATACAGACCCTACATACTGTATATAAATAAATAAAGGGTAGACAAGTACATAACATAAATAAAACAGTCATTTTAAGTTTTTCCAGTTTATTGTTTACTTCCTAACAATATTTTGGGGACGTGACATGTCACGTGGGAAGTTACTCTTAGGCGGTGTGCGGATACGACGGTCCTTCTTCGACCTGTTCCTCACCACTTTGCTGTGAATAGCGCATGACACGCAGTAGTGGAGCTTAGCGTACAGCTTGGGCAGCTGGAATGCTGTAGAGAAAACAGTATCATTAAAATTAATCACATTTCAATTCAATTTACAATTGTGCTACAAATGACACAAGTTTTTTGGGAAATTTAAATCTAGTTGCCAAATTTACACTTTTGCAAAAACAAAGCATTTTATGTATGTAGATATGTACGTAGTAAATACCTACTATGCCTACAAGCATAATACAAAATTCCTATATCATCTCAAAATATCTCGTACTGAACAATGCTAGCTAGCCTTGTTTTAACCAAATTATAGGTGCATATATGCACCTATAATTATATGCACATTTGGATAAATAATAATAGTGGCATTCTGAAGGAATATTTGCGTTGAATATGCACTATGCATACACTTACACTGATACACTGAGGCCTCATTTATATCTCTTACAGCGGCAGCCTCGACAATATTCCTAATCACGAATTTCTTGATAGCCTTGTCCTTTGGCACGCAACGCGCGCAGTTGGTGCATCGCACAGCCTTCACGTGCCCGCGGCCGTGTTTCGCACGTCCTCCGTTACGGCGTTTCCGAGTCTGCGAACACAAAACCAACCTCAAGCCACATGTTCACACCGCAACAATGAATTCAATTAACACAAATTTACAAAGCTAATGTATTAACGACTTCTCCATAAGACTTTGTTCAACATGAAACACCCTTTTTTCAATTTGATAAAGTGTTAAAGCTTATTTCAATAAATAAAATTTACGCACCATGATTATAACCTCCGATACGGTAAACGAAGTAGGAGGAAAAAGAAATTTTGAGCATAGACAACTGTCAACCTCGATTTCCGCTTTCCTAGTGTTGGGTCATGGAAAAAATTCCATTTTGAAAAAATCACATTTTTCAGAAAATAAACATTTTTCCGGATATTTGTCTATTTGAAATTTTTCTGAAAATTAGCCAACAGCATTCTTTTATTACGTTTTTATATTTTGAAAGTCATCGATAAAGCCCAATGCTGCCAGTATAAAATATTTTTAACGGTTTAAAATGTTTTCGATTTTGAGAAATCTAATTTCGATTACAAACAACTGCTTGAAATACTTTCTATCTCTTTTATACATATCTTTTATTATATAAAACGAGAAGAAAGTTAGAAATTCAATTAAAAATTACTTAAATTTCGAAACGAAAATGTGATCTCATTGACCACAAACAAACTTCCACGAGTTTTCAATGATTCATTCATAAAAATTGAATAAAAAAGAAACTGTCACGTAGAATTTCTCTGTGGTCACGGAATATTTCTTTCAGTAAAAATATATTTTTGTTGCAATATATTATTAGATATCCATATAAATTTACATTGTTTCGCTTTTTCTCCGTAATCGTAACGCAATTTGGTTAAACATGATAATTGTTGGTTGTTGGTAGACTTGATTATTAGTAACATCGTCATTGAGTGTTCGTCAGTGGGTTTCCGTATTTCATAGAACATTGTGTGGGGTGCAATGTGGTGCAGATAATAGTGTTTTAAGCGCGTGTGAAATGTCACAACATGGATGCGGGGAGAGACTGTCGTATTCAAAGGGTTTCCAGGAGGAAAGTGGCAATCAATCGACGATGGAGGTGCTCGTCGAAACGCTCACGGGGACGGCATTCGAAATGACGGTGTCGCCTTCGGACACCATATTCGCTATAAAGTCGAAGATATGCAGGGTTGAGGGTGAGTAAAATCCTGTTACCACTCCCAATACTCACATGCTAGCCTAAGTGTTACACAACTACAGAGAAATGGTTACAACGCATGTTGGTGCGTCATGGGTCCGACAAAGGATGTGGTCGCTACGCACAATCGCCGCTGTACAATAACAAGCTGATTAAACAATGTTTCTCAGTAGAAGGAAAGTTGTACACACTTGGACATGCCTGGACAACTTCTAAGCTTTCTATTAATTAAAACATTTTAATAATCCATTATACATTGCATCATTCATCTGTTATGCCTAAACCAATGCTCAATTCTCAGATATAAATAAGGTTCTACAAAGTAAAATAAAATACATAGCACATGTAATTATTGTAATCAGATTTAGGTGGCTATTTTTAGTAGTTTCTGTATGTAGTACATATTGTTCTAGAATGTATTTTGTTGCCATAATTATTATTATAATTTTTCTGTGCTTTAACTTCATCAATAATTGTACTTTGTACCTTAAATATTTTGAAGTGGTTGCTTTAATGTTTTTTGGAATTCATAATTCTCTTACACAGTGATTACTTAGGAAAGTGTTTACTTAGTATAAATAAACACTGATTGAGTTCTAGATAGATAGATAGGAAAATATATATATTTTATTGTCTACAAGAAAAAACACAGTACACAAACAACTTAAAACAAAATGTGCAAAGGTTTATAGCGAAGAGCAATCTCTTCCAGACAACAGATGAAAGCTAAACACAATGGGAGATGTAGTGTATGCCAAAGGTAAAATTTTAAATTAATTAATAATCATATAGTATACCTACTTATATGTTTGTACTAGAGTAGACTTCTAGTACTTTCTTTGTTTACAAATTGTTTTAATTTACAAATATAATATAGCAAGTACTATATACAGAAGCTGGAGGACTATAGGATACTTTTTTGTCATGTCTTGAAATTGAGGGGAAAACATTTTACTCAGTGGTAATGACAAGTGCTCTTTTTATTGTTCTTAAACTTAAATAAAAAAGTAAAAAATTACTTAAGCCAAACCAACCCCTTAAATTCAAGTATTACTTACTATCAGAGATATTAACTTAACCTTCAAATGCTACATGTAGAGTGGATTCTTCACTCGGAAATCCCAGAATGATTAAAAATAAAAGGTAAGGGTAGAAGCAAAATATTTATATTTTTACTTACAATTACAAAATTATATTCTAAATACACTACTGTAGTAAACTAATTCCTAGTTATATAAAAAAGTATAGCATAAAATATTCTGTTATATTTTCATTTTTTTCTTTTTTTTTGTATTTGTATTTAATATTTTATAATTGTTTGTATTTTATAATGTATTTTGCATGTGAAATAAATACAATTATATTTTATTTATTTAATAGGAGGAGTTGTTATCCACTGTAATATATGTTTCTTTGAAGGCCATTAGGTAGCACTTTTAGAAGTGTTTTTCAAAAGGCACTGCCAATAAATGAAAAAGAAAAAAACTACTTAAAATTTCAAAGCTGGGCTACCAGACACTCATTGTGGAATATAAAAGATGACAAACTCCATCATCAGAATTGTCTCCACCTGACAGCTTATTTTTATTCATATTGATAACTATTGTAGTACTTGTGTTATCTAAATATACATGCCACTGATAAAAAACAATAAATTTAAAGTTGTGGAATGTTTTTCTTTCCTGTGATATTAAATGTACTCATCAACATTTAAGACCCTTTATGGCCACATGAATCATTTATTCATTATAAGTTTCATATAGAGCATAGGTTCCCAAACTTCTTGTTTTGCCTCACCTCACTTAGGCAAGATAAAAAAATTTCAATGCCCACCACCACTAAAAATAATTGAAAACACACATTTTTTATACTAACTTATCATGAAAAATCACAAGGAAAAAATGTATATCCAGTGTAGTTAATGAATGTACTCATAATTCAGATATTTTTAAGCTTTAAAGTATGATTTGAATTGAAACTGCCTCCGTGGCCGAACGGTTACCATGCCGGACTGCCACGCAGAGGTCCCAGGTTCGATTCCCGGGCCGGGAGAAATGTTTGTATGGCCTACATTTATTTCTCTCGTGAGTTTGGGTGTAATTTGTGGTTGTCTATGTGTGTGTCCATGGCACCCGCGACACAGGGTTTCCCTAGTGCGGGGCTATGTTGAGTGTGTGCGTTATTTATTTATTATTATTTATTTATTTCCAAGAGCTTTCTGTGTGCTTACTGCCTACTGCTTTTCTATACAGAAGTACCAACATGACAAAATTCAATGTTTTACATACATTGAACATTACGGTGGGTATATGTATGAGAAGACACAAGCCACAACCAGACAACAAAAAATGTCAGGAAAAGTCCTTCAGTTCTTTGATACTGTTAACATTGGCTCCGAACTGTTAATTAGTGGTGATCACTGTGTGATCAATTAATTACACAATAACTGAGAAATGTATTATACCATGGACCAATAATTCCAGAGGACTGTTCAGTAGTAGAGTTCCTTGTGAAAGAGTCCATCCAGGAAAGTACTGCCACCTTACCTATTTCTGCCAAGCAGTAATGTCACTTTACTATGTTCCGGTTTTGAAAGGTAAGGGTGCTGGTGAAATTACAGGCACATGGGACTTGTCAACTTATGTCTCAGGGTGACGGGCGCAGTGGCAGTGCCCTTCTTCTTCTTCTTTTAAATGTTATGGCCCCATCGAAATAAGCAGTGCCCTTCAGATTTTTGCGATTTAAAGCTCTGAGTGGCACTGCAACTGTTATGGACAGGCATATAGTTTACCATCAGGCACACAACCACATTTCATCACCATTCTTAGCCTTCATAACCAGAACACAGTAATACTGACATTACTGCTTGGCGGTAGAAATAGGTAAGGTGGCAGTACTTCCCTGGACGGACTCTTTCACAAGCAGCTCTACTGCTAGTAAAATTATTTCCCGAACTTGACAAATATGCGTACCTATCAATAGATGGCATTGTGTGTTACAAATTAATTTATAAATAACGCTTGTATTATGGGTAGGTGGTGCTAATCCTAAATAAAAGAAAAGAATTGCGTGCTTTGTTTGTTATCACTAGAAATTAGATTAGCTTTGGTAAATTGCAGCTCGTCAATATTAAACAAGTGAGTTTTTAAATAGAAAACCACCATGAGACTCGGACATATTAACTAAAATAACGGATAATTCACGTATTTAAGTCGAATTTCAATCGTGATAGTGGATGGTCAGTACCTCCCAGCAGGAAAACAGTGGTAGGTACTATGTCAGTGGTTAGTGTAGACGAGACTTTTGAAAGTGACGTTGTTAGTGTAGAGTGCAATCCTATGTATGACTTTAATAAAAATGAAGCAAACGAGGGTAGTTCTCGCCGATGCCGCCTGCGCCCGCAACAGTACTGAGTGATCGGGCTACCAGGGCTTATTAAGGACCACGAATTGGTTCGAAACATTTCGAGCAAAATTCGACTAAAAATACGTTATTTTAGATAAACAAATTAGTTACAAAAATTGTTATTTTTACTCGTCGCGTCGTGGTATACCAATAGGTACTAAGTACCTGACTATACTGTCTTGTACCGCGTTTAGCAGTCCTCTTGACTTGTTGGTCCATGATTATATTTAATTTGTAAACAGTATAAGACAAGATTGATGACAAATATCCTGAGTAAACAAACAAATAAGCCAAGGAAATTTTAATACTCCAAACTTAATACTAACTTGACATAACAACACTCACATGTTAAAATCGGACAAACAACAAAATACGAAAACTTTTTCTACTTATTTTGCAGCTTTATTTCCATTATTATTCAAGTAATATCAAACTTTGCAATACACTAATACGTTAGCTGTCTGATTGCTCTTGGGGCACTTTATCTTGGCATTTGAAAGAGCATTGTCTCAAGTCAAGTTGCTTATTCTTTTCAGGGCAATCTGGCATCAGAATGTGTTAGGAAACATTATAATTTCAATTGTAATTTGATTAAGTAGGTAATGTACGCTTTCTGGATTTAAACGCGTCTCATCGTCGGTCACATCGTCGCTTAACATCAGGTGAGATTGTGGCCAATTGTGTCTATTATATATTAAAAAAAAAAAAAAAAAAAAAACAAGTGTTAAGTAAACAATAAATAAAATCACAGCCGGTACACAGAAAAAAAGGATTTCTACTCATAAGAAAGAGCAATTTCTTAAAATATTTGCTAATTCTGAAAAAATATTTATTAAAAGTAATAAAATATTGTCATTACAAAAATACTGCTTATCTTTTTCTAATACAATTTTACTCTTAACTTTATTCTAACTTTTAGACAAATACGTTCACTTCAAGATTTTATTTCATTTACTTACAACAAGAAATTTTTACCGCTTATATCAAATTTAAATAATCTTAAATGAATTCAAAATTTCTTGGGTGTATTTTAAGAAAATATAGGGTGGAAATGTGTTGTGCCACCTGGAGAGAAAGTACTCTAAATACTGGAGATAGAAATTTTTAATTAAAGGAAACATTCCTTTATTTTTTAAAAGAAATAAAACTGCTAACATAGATTTTCGAAAATTTCTAGAACACGCGGGAATCGAACCCGCTTTAATCTGAAAAAAATGCACCCTGCACTTTTATTGCATCAATCGATACGGTTAATTATAGGAATAAAATCTCTCTCACAAAATTGGTTAATTAAATGGAAAAAAAAAACATGAAATCTTAATGTATTTTAATAAAATGAAAAAAAATGGTAATCTAACCAATTACTTCCTCGAAATGAGCTCCATTTTCTTGGATACACAAATTTAATCTTTTAACGAATTCATTTCTAACTCACATGACTAATTTTTAATAACGTGTTGTGATGAATTGTATTAAAAATCGGATTCTGAACTGAGGTTCAGCCTTCAACTCATTTACACTCGCATAAGATTTAAGGTAAATTTGATTTTTAACATATCCCAAACACAACAAAAAAAATCTAAAGGGGTGAGA